TGGAGAGTGGGAAGACGGAATAGGGCAAGGAAATCTACAAAGCTTAATACTGTCTTACTTGACTGTTAGGATTTTTTTCTTACTCATTAACCAGTGCAGTAGCCAAACACAGGAATAAGAAGTCCCAACACACTGCTAGTATTTCCACACTCTGCAGAGCTGGGGCAAAGATTTGTAGAGATACATGGTAAACTACACTGCAGAACTGGAAGGAATGAAAAATCAGGTTAATCAGCTACACTACAACCATCTGGGAAGGATCTACCACATAGCACATCCACAGGATTGCTGCAGCCAGTTGTGCTGCTGAAGGAGCTGTTTGTGAGACAGCAACATGCTCCCTCCCTCCCCCTCCAGGATCCCCAGCAAACACACTGCTTACCAGTCGCTCTCTACATTGCTTGTGACCACCAGCTATGAAAAGTGCAAATAAAGGGTCACACTATGCAAAACATGACAGTACCTGCAGTGTTAAGACACAGTACTATTGCCTTTATGCTAGCAAAGGCAGGAACTGCAGGCTTCAAGCCTCAAATTAAAAAAAAAACAACACAGCAGTCTTTTGGGTCTCTGCCTCGATCCCTGAACATGATCTTTTTCATCTCGGCTTCAAGCCTCAAATTAAAAAAAAACCAACACAGCAGTCTTTTGGGTCTCCGCCTCGATCCCTGAACATGATCTTTTCATCGCCATACCATTTCCAACTTTGATTTTCATCTGTGAAATACGTGACACCCAGACTGATTTTATGGAAGTCTTTACAAAACACAAGCACCCATAAATACACCTAAGAAGACACATTCTATCCATCTCATTGCATTTCAGATCATTTATTCTTGTTTGAAGGAGATAGGCTCAGCTCCTCAATGAGCTGATGGGACCTTACCACACAGCTCCACAAACACTAACACCAATGAAAAGGAGCAAGAGCATTCATAGGTAGAGAGAGGAAGACAAAACTCCCTACTGAGGCAGAACCATGGGCCCAAATGCCCTTATGAGTATGCACTTAGCCTTCATATTCTGCTCACAGTGTACACACAATCACAGCCATGGTTTCCATCCCTCCCTCTATCCAAATCCAAACCAATCTATTGTGGCTTTCTGGTTTTGGCCTTTAACACTTCAGCTGAAGCTGACCATATAGGCCTTCACTAGCAACTGATGTGACTGTGTACCAGCCTAACAACCAACCCATGAAACAGTTCTTAATTTAATCCTTCCACAAAATTTAAAAACTCAGCTTTAGTCTGGTCAAAACTATATTTCAAAGAATGCTTTATAATGAACCAGAAATGCTGGAGGTAAGAGACGAAGTGACTCCTACCTTTCAAAAGTCGAGTAAAACTTAACCTACTGCCAACTACGAGATATATATTTTGGTTTTGGAAACCCACAGGTCAGACATGACTCCATACACACTTCTTAATTGATTCATAAATAGTAAATTAATTCATTTTGGATTGGGTTAAAGAAATATAAATTAATATTCAGCTTTCACTGTTGGCTTATCTAAGACTGTCAGGAATTGAGTAGATTAAGAGGGCTCTCTCAACATGAACTCAGGAGGATGCAATGTGGTACACTGATGCACTCCTTTTCTCTGGGTCAGATGTGACGTCCATCATTCAATTAGTTACTCATTTCACCTACACTGAGGAAATTGGATACATTATATTGTACAATAGCCTCAGCAAGGAGATACTTTCCACCAGCCCCAGCTCACAGTGTCATTTCTGGAACCACAGTAAACATTTATCAAGAGACTGATGCTCTAAGACCACGAGCTGCATCTTCCCATGACCCAAATGACTTAACCTGTCGTGGCAAAGCACACTGCTTGTCACTTCAGGTATTAAGGAAAAAATGTAAAATTGTTGATAAGGTTTACACGAAATATTATGTGTCAGAATGTTCTCTATTAAACATTATGTCTCAGTAAGTTCAGAGACATGCCACAGATTTTAATTCATCTCACCCCAAGCTACTGAACTGGGTCATTCTATTAGACTTTAAAATATCCCAAACCTGCATCATTCTCAGCTGATGTTCAGAAGCACATGACAGCTCTGCAGAGCATAAATTTAACTAAAGCTTAACAACTTTATTGAATGTGGAGAGATTAATAAATTAGGACTGCAACAAGGTAAAATAAAAGGCAAAGGCAAAATCAAAACTGAGCACGGAACAGAAAAAAGTGCAACGTGATATTCCCGTTACTTAATGCAATAAGATTCATTTGCCCTAAAGATACTATTAAGTGACTGTTTACAATCTGTTCCTCAAAGAAAGCAATCAATAGAACTGTCCGTGCTTCGAATGCAATCTGTGAAACCAACAGCCTGTTAGGACACCCTTCCTTTCCCTGTTATTATTTGCTAGCAATTAATCAGGAGCAAACCATTCTATCCTTTTCCTTCAGTAAACCCTTTAACTGCCTGATAGTTTTATTTAATAGGGACATGAAGGTGTATTGTTTGCTTGTTTGACACAAGCACCAGAGATTTCCAGCAGATTTATACTTTAAGCAGTTTATAACATAAAACATTCACCTGTTAATCTGAATAATAAAATTCTGTAGGAGTTCAACTCAGGGCAAATATGTAAACATTAATTCAAAATCGTGTGCCTAGATATATGAAACAATTATTTAACTGCATCAAGATATTTAAGTAAGAAAAACAGCTTCCTACACAGTATTTACCCAAATTATTCACTGTCACTCATCTTTAAATGCTGTACAGATTTAAATGCCTATCTGCAAATGAAGAGCTATTATACTGAAACAGGGCCTTGATGCACAAAGGAGTTACATTCGCAATACACAAAATAAAGAAATGCTTTCTGAAGTTATGATATACATTCCTCATTTGACAGCAAATTTTAAAAGCAATG